CAAGAGGGATGAGAACACAGCCCTGACGTGGCACAGTGAGAGGCCACCACGTGCCTGCACCTCACAGCCACTTCATTAGAGCTGTGAATGGCACATCCTGAACCTCAGAGCTCTGGTGGGATTACAGGAGAAGGACTTGCGGGATCAAGATCAGGCTCAGCCGGTGTCATTCAGTCCCTGGCTCTGCCCGGGGGCCGTGCCCAGCCCCAGCAGCTCTCCCTGCACACCCGGAGGGGTCACGCACCCCCAAAGCTCTGCACACACCCGGGGGGGTCACACACATCTTGCTCACGTGGAGATGTCACCCCCCCAAAGCTCTGCACACCCGGAGGGGTCCCACAGCCGGAGGAACCACACACACCCAGAGGTGTCACACCAAGAGCTCAGAGCATCTCAGCTTCACCTCTGGCCAATCCTGTTCCTCTTGCAACGCCTTTGCACACAAAGACTCCTTAACAAATGAATTATTAATGATTATTAATAAGCTGTAATGGCATCTGTGGCTGCTGGAAGAGATGAGGAGGCTTTCGAGTGGTATCCGAGTGCAATGGAGGTGAGGATTTCACAGCTGAGGACAGGGCACGTGTGTCCCAAGGGATCCAAAGGCTGGAAGCACAGCCCTGGACAGCATCAGCATGTGAGGGGTTCCAAGTTGTTCCCCTCAGCCTCTTTTTGGTGTTTTTCCCAGCTCCAGGCTGGGCAGTAGCAAAATGTTCTCTGCGGGCTCCAAAGGAGCTGCCCAGGAACCTCCTGGTGCCATTTTCCCTCTCTGCCTGATATCAAGTGGGGAGAAGCCAAGCTGGAGGGGGCAGATCCCCCGAGCCTCTGGAGCCACAGATCTCCACAGGGAGACCAGGGAATGAAATGTCTCATGGCCTTTTTGCCTCAGTTTAATTTCTCTGGCTGGAGCCACCTGTGTTTTATCGCCTGTGGAGCTTGGCGGGGGCTCCCGAGGCAGCGCTGCAATTCCTGCTCCAGCCAGGGCTCAAGGAGCTCCTCACCGGCTTTTATTTATTGATACAGCCCTGACACTTGGATATTATAACCAATTAATTATTTTTGGAGGGTTTTTTTCTGTATGGATGTGTTTGCATCCAGGCTCTCAGCTCAAGGACAGGGCTGGAGCAGGGTGTTCCCACCCACTCTGTGATTTATCAGGGATTTTAAACCTCTGCTCTCCTGGCAGGGACAGGGACACCCTTCCAGAGGCACCACATGCCAGGGCTGTGTGACTGCTCTGCTTGGATTAGATTAGATTTGAAAAGCGTGATACGTGCGGAGCCGGAGCGAGCACAGCAAGGAAACCAGACCGGAACACCGTGGGTTTTTTCCCCCCTCCAATAAAAGCGCCGGCTCGAATCTGCCTGCATGAACTGTCTGAGCGATTGTGAAGGATGTCGGAAAAAATCGCAACCTGCTTAGGGGTAATTCGTGATCCACGGGAAACACGGGAAGGCGTCGGGATCAGGGTCGGCAGGAGCAAGCCTGGATGCACGGGAATTAGCGACACCTCGGCAGCATCCTCGGCGTCCTGGCGGAGTCCTGGTGACCCCTGCTCGGCACAAAGGGACTCTGCCAGCGGCTAAATCACCGGCAAGCTCTCAGCGGTACAAACTGCTTCAATTACAGGAGCGTGAACAGATCCTGGAGAGGAGGATGCGGCGGCCGCGGAGCCGTCACGGCGGATCACAGCCGAGGCTCCAGGGACACGCTCGGCTGCTCACAGAGATGCGGGGGGGTCCTGGCTGAGCCCCCCGAGCCAGGGTGGCTGCAGGTGGCCTCAATGCCCCGGGCAGCAGCACCGGCACCCGGCAGGGCTGGCTGGGAAGAGCCTGCCCAGGAAAGCTTTGAAAGATTAATAGAGTTTAAATGGAAGCGTTTGGAGAGGAGATAAGGCTCATCTGATATGAAATCATATGGAACAACGGGATCCAGGGAGGCCCTGGCTCTATAATGAAGTCCAGTTCGCACATTACTCACCATAATGTGCTTTTTATTAAAGTCCTGTGCTGCAGGTGCTGAGTGTGCAGCGGGGAGCGCGGGGCTGGGATGGAGCAGGGACCTGGAGTACCCGACCCACCGCCAGAAGCAGCCGGGATGAGGCTTGGAAAAGGCACCTTTGGCTTCCTGGTTGCCACCCCCTGTTTGATCCGGGGATGCGGCTCCGGCATCAGCCGTGCCCGAGGCTGGGGCTGGTGGGCCTGCAGGGACGGGGTGGAGAGGAGGCGGAGGTGGGGAATAATACAGAGGAAAAACTCCTTTTTAATCATCAATTTTTCTGCATTAGAATGTGACATGCTAATCCACTGTGAAGCGTCTAATCTGGGGGATAAAGGGCCGGATAACACAAGCTGCGCCCGGCTTGGCTGGCGGAGCGAGCTGAGGCAAGGTGGCAGCATCTGATAAGGGGTGCAGGATTAGTCCCGGCACAGATCCCGCCTGCCCGGGCAATCCCACCTTGCTTGGCTGCCTCTGCTCTGTCTCTCGCCAGGGTCAGGGAGGAATCTGCAGCCCTGGAGCCGTCCCAGAGCCGCTCATCCCGCCCGGAGCGGCCGTGGCAGCGCTGCCGCTGCCTCCACCACCACCTTGGCAGCTCTGGGAGCTGCAAAGCGCATCCCTGGGCCAAGACGCGTGGAAAAAACTCGTTTTTCTCCTTTTCGATTGGCACGCCCGGGTGCGCGGTGGGAGCAGGACAGCCCGGCTGTGGGGTCTCCATCTGCCCCAAATGTTCTCCCTCATCCCATCCCTTCCCAGCAGCCAGCTCCGACCTCCGGCCACCCCCGGGGATGAGGTGGGCAGCTCAGCCAGGCTTTGACAGGGACGGGCCCCCCAAAAACCGAGCGGGTCCAGCTCCCGGGGCGCTTTCGGCGACAGCCTCCCCGGGGCTCGGAGACCTGGGATAACAGAACTTGCAATGTTGTTTTCTCCTCGCCTCCTCGGGGATTGGTTTATCTCTATGAATAACTCCATCCCGGCTTTGATCTCCTCTGCCATTAAAGCGTGACAGGCTGTGAAATGTGCTGTTGCTGCCGTCAAATCCCGCTCCCGCTTCCCCCCCCGCCGCCTCCGTGCTCCCCCGCTCCGGGAAACCTCCTTTCCCAGGCCCGTGAGGAGCTGCAGAGCATCGAGCGGGGCCGAACCGCCCCGGGACAGCGGCCAAACACGGTGCTGGAGGCAGGAAAATCCCATTTCCTTCTGCCATCCCACACCTCTCGCTGGGGCGGGGAGGAGGGCGCGGAGCATCCCCGGGCCCAGCGCCGGGTCGGGTGTGGCGGCATCATCCCAGCACCCGCCACGGGGGCTGATGGCACGGCTAATTATAACCTCCCCCGTCCCTCGCCCCCGCCAAAGCTTTACCTGAGAGAGGGTAAAAATAACTCCCGGCGAGGGAGGAGCTGGAACGAGCCCAAGGACTCCTCCAGCATCTCCAAAACTCGCACAAACCAGGACGGCACCTCCCTGCCTGCAACACATTTTGTCCCCGATCTGGGGGGTCAGGACGCGCTCCCCTTGGCTCCGGTGCCACCGTGCTCGGGGCTGCGGCTGTCCCCGGTCACCTTCAGCCCGGCTCGGGTGTCGGTGCTGGGACAGGTGGCGGTAACCGGAGCCGGGTCCTGCTCGTCCCCCCGCCCCACGCGGCTGCTGGGAACCAGCCCCGGCGCTCCCCGCGAGCTGTTTAAGCCGAGCGAAGCAGGTTAATGGCCCCAGTCGATGATGGAATGTTTTCATTACAGCAGCTTTCTCACTCTCTCTCCCTGCTGCAATTGCTCGCAAGAAGAGACATTAAAGCTCCCCGCGCCCCGGGAGCGGATCCGGCCCTCGCTCGCACCGTCGGGGACGGGCTGATGGCCCCGGGCAGCACCGCTCACCTGTCCGAGCCCCGCCGGGGCCAAACAACCCCCTCAGCCTGCAATTCCTTCATTCCATTTCCCTTCTCCTCTCCCTGCTAACAGCCAGGGCACAGGAACCCTGGAGCACCAGAAATCCCAACCCCAGACTGCTCCTACCTGCTCCTGCCTGTCAGAGCATCCTCCGGTGCCAGTGTGTGTGTGGGATCAGCCCAGTGTGTTCCCAGCCTGCTCCCACAGGGCTGAACCAGCCCAAGTCTTGCAAACCCCCTCCCAGGAGCAGCCCTGGTGCTGTTACAGCCCTGCCCTGCAGCTTGTCCCCATCAGACACAGGGCACCTGGGACCTGGCCCCACGTCCTGATTGTTCCCAGCCACTCAGTCCACCTCCTGACTCTTTTCCAGGAGGACTTTTCATCTCAGATTCTCTGGGATGTTCCTGACTCGCTTTTCCAGGAGGACTTTTCATCTCAGATTCTCTGGGATGCTCCCAAAAGGTGTAACCTTGATCTTGGCCTGATGAAATTTCATCCTGTGGCGCTGGCGCTCATCCTCAAGGTCATCCACACTTTCTCCCAGGTCCCCAGGCAGCATCTGCCAGTTCCCCTCTTACACAAGGGCCCTACTGAAGGGAATATTGAGCTTGGGGAGCCCCAGGATGGGACATCACAGATCCCTGCCCCTGGCGGGGACCCCCCAGTGCCTGTTCCACAGGCATCACCTGCCCAGGAATCTCAATAACTGTGCTGGTACCAGATCAGATTTTTTTCTGAGCTCCTGACTGATTTGTTCTCTCAATTTGTGGTGTCTGTGTGCGCCGGGATGTTCTCAGGAACCCTGCAGGGTGCATGGGGAAGGAGACACAGCGGCTGAACTGAGGGCTTGGGGTGAGCCTCTCCCACCCAGGCACCAGCCCAAACCTCCCATCCAGCCCCTGCACATCCAAGTGCTGCCGGATTTAGATTCTCCCCCTGAGCCGGTGATGGCGGTGCCGGGATGGGGCTGGAGATTGCTCTGTGGTCTCTGGATGCTTTTATGAAGTGCTGAGCACAGGAAAACAGCAAACCACGAGAAGGGGCTGCACTGCTGCAGAGAGGAGACGCTTGTGTGCTCCCAGCAGCTGCCAGCTCCATCCCAGCATCCTGCACCAGAGCTGCTCCCTGGGACCCCCAGCCCAGCTGGCTCAGCAGCACCAGGCCTGGATGCAATTCCTTGAGGGAAGAGGTGGCTCCCTGTGCCCCACCGGGGTCTGAAGCACGAGGTGACATGTCCAGCACCGACCGGGCTCTGCAGAAGGACTCACTGCCTGCACAGCACCCAAATCCTGCCCCAAATCCCCAAGACCAGCCCCGCTCGGAGGGGACCTCACAGCACTCGGAACGTCGGAATTGCCGGATCCTCACGGGCACACGCTGATGCCCTGAGCACAGGGGGATGAGCCTGCAGGGATGGGCACTGCCAGGGCAGGAGGAGCATCGGAGGAGCCTGAGGACGCCACAGCATCCACCACTGAACCAGGCATTTTGGGAAAACCTCTGGCTCCAGCTGCCCTGGGGATGAGTGCACAGAGCCTGGCATATGGTGGCTCTGGAGACAGCCGGGGACCCAGCAGGGAGAGCCTGGGCCTGGCTGGAGCGGCCGCTTGGGCTGCCAGGGCCAGACCACGCAAGGACGGAGGGCACGGCGTGGGGACCTGCACACCTGCACACCCCGTGTGCCCCTCGGGAGCCCCTCGGGCCCCCAGGGAGCGCTGGGAGCTCCCACGGCGCTTCTGGAGCCGGTGATGTCTCTGCTCTGTCCTGGCAGCCGGAGCCGGCCGGTCCCAGGGGGCCCGGGGAGCCCGCGGAACCGCCCCTCGCTCCTCCTCCCCTCCTGCTGCTCCTGATATACCCTCCTGGCTCCGGCCGCTCCGAGCATCCCTCTGCTCCTCTCCCTCACTCCCGCTCGCCTCACTCCTTTTCCCTTCTCCATTTCTCCTCTCTGAACTTGCCCCTTCCCCCTCCCCTGCTCTCTCCACCGAGGAACTGACTGAAGACCCCCAGGTTGGGCCAGGGCAGGGGCCAGGACCCCCACACCAGAGCCAGGACCTCCACACTACAGCTGGGACCCCCAGGCTGGGCAATGCCTCTCCAGATATTCTGCACCATCTCCTTCTCCAGTGAGGAAGAACCAGAAGATGCTGCAGCCACTGGGAAGGGAGAAGATGGAGCAGACGAGTTCCTGTATGGGCAGGAGGAGGATGAAGACGATGAGGAGGACACAGGGGCAACCACGGACTTCGTGGCCTTTGCCAGCAGCTGCACCCTGCACGGGCTGAGCCACATCTTCGTGGAAGGCAGCCTGGGCGCCCGGCAGGCGCTGTGGGCGCTGGCCTTCCTCCTCTCCCTCTCCGTCTTCCTCTACCAGGTGGCCGACCGCATCGCCTACTACCTGGAGTACCACCACGTCACGCTGCTCAGCGAGGAGGACAGCCCCGAGATGATCTTCCCCGCCGTCACCTTCTGCAACATCAACCGCGTGCGGCTCTCGCAGCTCAGCCACCAGGACTTGCTCTACCTGGCTCCCCTGGTCGACTACGAGCCTGGGATGGAGCTGGGCTTCACCCCAGCCCAGCCTGACCCCTGGGAGGAGGACGAGCCCCTAAATTTGTACGGGTTTTTTAACCGCACTTGCCACCAGCTGGAGGACATGCTGCTGAGCTGCAGCTACCGCGGCCAGCGCTGCGGCCCCGGGGACTTTGCGCCGGTGAGTAGCCCCAGGGTGGCCCGGCACGGGGAGCAGCTCCGGAGCTGATCGGTGTCGGATCAGGCACAGCAGGTGATGCTGCCCTTGGAGCTTGCTCAGGGACAGGCTGATATTTCAGCCCCATCTGCCGGAGCTGGGGATGGCACCGGCTGTGGACATCCTCCGGTGGGACGTGGAGCGAATCCCCGGGGCTGTGATGGCTGAGGAGGTGCTCGGCACCTCTGTCCTGGTGGCATCAGGGCTTGTGGGGCACCCTGTGGTGAGATCCCACTGCCCTCACGTGCCCCGGGCTGGCAGCAGCTCTGCGGCGCTGGGGCCGTGCCGGCTGCCGGAGGAGAGAGCTGGAACGGCCAAGGAGGGATGGGGAGGTCCAGGATCCCATCCAGCCCTGTCCTCTGCAGGGATGGAGGAGGGCTTGGAGGAGGCACCGGTGCAGGCACCAGGCTAAGTGCCACCACCCTGGGGAGCCACAGCTGCCGTGGGCTCTCTGGGGCTGAGGTGCCGTGAATCTGCAGTGTCTCCTCTGAGTCCATCTCTGAGTTTTGGGGCTGGGGACGCTCTCCTGGCCCCGTGCTCCACACAGAGGGGCCCCAGCCTCACCCCGTGTCCTCTCCTGCAGGTCTTCACCCGCTACGGGAAGTGCTACACCTTCAATGCGGGGCAGGACGGGAAGCCACGGCTCATCACCATGAAGGGGGGCACTGGCAATGGCCTGGAGATCATGCTGGACATTCAGCAGGACGAGTACCTGCCAGTGTGGGGGGAAACAGGTCAGCTACTGGCCCAGCGGACCCACTCAATCCTGGGGTGCTGCCCAGCCCCTGCCCACCTCCTCAGCCCCTTCCCAGCTCCCCAGAACACAGATCCACATCCCCGAGGCTCCCTTCTCCTCCCTCCTTCTATTTCTCATCACTTCTGGTCTTTTCTTTCCCTTTTCCTCCTTGTCTTTGCTCTTTGCCATGGCAACTCCCCATCGTTTAGACACGCAGCCATCACTTGTTTATAAATAGAGGCAAATACTTTCCCTGCCACTCCCGGGTGTGGAGCAGGGGGGTCGGGGTGGAGGGGCAAGGACATGCAAGTGGATGGACAGATGGATGGACACGTGGATGAATGACTTGGCCCAAGGGAAGCGTGGGAGGCAGAAGTTGTGGTCCCTCTCAAAGCAGGCTCAGCACAGCCCCTCGGAACAGGGACAGTGCTGTGCTCACCCCACTTCTCCCTGCCACAGATGAGACCTCGTTCGAAGCCGGGATCAAGGTGCAGATCCACAGCCAGGACGAGCCTCCGCTGATTGACCAGCTGGGCTTCGGGGTGGCTCCCGGCTTCCAGACCTTTGTGTCCTGCCAGGAGCAGCGGGTAGGAACCGGGCAGGTCTGGGATGTTCCCTCCCACCCTGCACAAGCAGATCCTCCTCGCTGTGCCCCTGTCCCCAAGCTGGATGGAGAGGAGGGCACGGTCCTGGGGAGCAATGCCAGGAGGGTGTCTGTCCCCTGCCACACTGGAGAGTGTTCTCTCCTCACTCCTGGCTTCTGTCCCCTTCCAGCTCATCTACCTGCCGCCTCCCTGGGGTGACTGCAAGGCCGTGGCGGGCGACTCGGAGTTCTACGACACCTACAGCATCACGGCCTGTCGGATCGACTGCGAGACCCGCTACCTGGTGGAGAACTGCAACTGCCGCATGGTGCACATGCCAGGTGAGCCCCGTGCCTGGCCTGGCCCCTGCCCAGCCCTCCAGTGTGATCCCACCTGGAAAACCTGCTCTGTGTCTCCCCAGGCGATGCCCCTTACTGCACCCCGGAGCAGTACAAGGAGTGCGCGGATCCGGCCTTAGGTGAGGCTGCCCGGCCCCGTGGGACGGAGCTGCGGCGCTGGGGTTCTCCATCTCGCCATGCCCCTCTCTCCCTGCACAGATTTCCTGGTGGAGAAGGACAACGAGTACTGCATCTGCGAGATGCCCTGCAACATGACCCGCTACGGCAAAGAGCTCTCCATGGTCAAGATCCCCAGCAAGGCCTCGGCCAAATACCTGGCCAAGAAGTACAACAAGTCAGAGCAGTACATCGGGTAAGGCGCTGCGGCCGCGGCGGCGGGGCAGGCTCTGGTGTCTCCATCCCAATCCTCAGCCTCATGCCGCTTCTGTACTGCACAGGGAGAACATCCTGGTGCTGGATATCTTCTTTGAGGCCCTGAACTACGAGACGATCGAGCAGAAGAAGGCGTACGAGGTGGCTGGTTTGCTGGGTGAGTGCTGGTGGCTGTGGGGAGCCTGTGACAGTCCCCAGCCAGAGCCCTCCAGCCAGGTGGTCTCTGTCACCATGGCCTGTTCCCAAGGCACCGGGATGTGCCACCAGCACAGATGTGGAGCAGGGCACCCAACTGCCGTGACCAGGTCACAGCGGTGACAAGTTCTGCCCCTTTCTCTGCTCCCTCTGCCACCCAGCTCTGGACTCAGGCCACCCTGATGGCTTCCCTCTCCTCTGCAGGTGACATCGGAGGCCAGATGGGGCTGTTCATCGGGGCCAGCATCCTCACAGTGCTGGAGCTGTTTGACTACGCCTACGAGGTGAGAGTCTCCTCCATCCCACAGCTGTGCTCGTGTGGGACATGGGGAAGAGCCACCCATGAGCCCCACAGTGCTGAAACGTGGCTCTGGCAGGTGATAAAGCACCGGCTGTGCCGGAGGGGCAAGTGCCGCAAGAACCACAAGAGGAACAACACAGACAAGGGCGTTGCGCTAAGCATGGACGACGTGAAGCGCCACGTGAGTGTGGGGCACAGCACGGTCCCTTCTTGCTTGCCCCTTTCTGCTCATCCCCTCCTGCTCATCCCCTCCTGCTCATCCCTTCATGCTCGTCCCGTCCTGCTCATCCCCTCCTTCTCGTCCCGTCCTGCTCATCCCCTCCTTCTCGTCCCCTCCTGCTCATCCCCTCCTGCTCATCCCTTCCTGTTCATCCCTTCCTGCTCATCCCCTCCTGCTCGTCCCCTCCTGCAGCTCGGGGGCTGCCCGAGAGGCGCTGTGGGGTGTGGAGTCACTGTTCTGGGGAGCGCCTGGGACAGGAGCAGAGATCCCAGGCAGAGATGCTGTGGGGGGATGGCGCTGGGTCTGTGCAAGGACCTGGATGAAGCCAGCGGCCCAACGTCCCGTTTATCCTGCAGAATCCCTGTGAAAGCATACGGGGGCACCCAGCAGGCATGACGTACGCAGCCAACATCCTACCTCACCACCCGGCCCGGGGTACCTTTGAGGACTTCACCTGCTAACCGACGTCTGGATGTACAACCTGAGCTACCAAAGCCCTGCGAGAGCTGCCCTTCTCCCCGCCAGCGCCAGCGGAGAGACACATCTAGGGGGCCTTTGCTCCTCGGCACGGTGGGACACGGACAAGAGCGACGGCCTCGGATTTCGGGGCGGGCAGTGGGGTCGGGCAATGCCAGACCCCGGCGCAGCCCCCACGGCAGCTGCTCTGCGCCTGCTCTGCTCCTTCAGAGACTCCAGGACGCTCCAGCCCGGCCGTCCCGCGGAGCGGGAGCGACACGCACAGTGGGCCAGGGCACGGGCCTGCCCCGGCTCCCCCTTGGCTCCCCTCGGCCTTTTTAACTAAAACCCAGAAGCCAAGAAGAAGCAGCCGTTCGGCCGCAGTCTCCATCCACAGCCCTGTCCGTCTGTCCTCCGTCGTCTCCATGCTCATCCTACTCCAATGCCTTGGCCGAGCTTGCCGGGCCCCCTGTGCCCTGGGGGGCATCGGGGATCATCGGGGAGCCCCCGGTGTGCCCTGCCCAGGGCAGCAAGCCGGGAGTCCCCCGAGAGCACCTCTGTCCCCCGGGACCGCAGCCCCGGCTCGCCCGGGCCCTCCCGGCATGAAGACGCAGCATCTCCACCTGTCCACAAGGTCTTCCTTGGCCCCTGTCCCGGGATCAGCCCCAGGATCAACCCCGGGATCAGCCCCGGGATCAGCCCCGGGATCAGCCCCGGGATCAGCCCCGGGATCAGTCCCGGGATCAGTCCCGGGATCAGCCCCAGGATCAGCCCCGGGATCAGCCCTGGGATCAGTCCCGGGATCAATCCCGGGAGCACCGAAGGGGCTCAGCTGGGAGGTGCCACCTCGGCTCGAGGACACCGGCCACTGTCCCTCCCCGTCCACCCCTCCTGGGCTCTGGGCAGCCTGGCCAGTTCCAGCACTGCCCTGCAGCCCCCCCATCCCCAGGTGACCCCAAACCCAGCCATCCTCGGGGAGAAAGGCAGAAGGAAACCCCTGGCCCCACATGGCCACCGCCCCCAGCCCGGCCCAGCCAGGGACACCCCCTTGGCACCACCGTGGCTGGGCAGGCACCGGAGCCCCAACCCCCCCGGGGGTCCTGGGGGGCTCTGGAGCTCAGCTCCAACCCCACTGAGCCCCGACAGCTGCTGCCCCGGGGGGGTTGGGGTGTCTGTGGGTTCCCAGGGCCACCGCTGCCCCTTCCCTGGCACAGCCCTGCCCTGGCTGGGGTCCGTGGCCACCAGGTCGCTGCCCCCCGGGCCTGTCAGCGCCCATCACTCCCCTCTGGGGTCCCTGCTTGGCCCCCCAGCCCATCTTCAAGCCCCCAGGCCAGAGCCCTTCCCGGGCCCAAGTGCTACTTATCTTTAAGAGCTTTTGCAATAAGTCTTTTGAGTAATTTTTTTTTTTTTTTTCTAAACTGCAGTTTTGGGTTTTTATTCTTGTCATTTTTATTCTTATTATTTGCTTCCTGACCAAAATTAGGAACTGGGGGTCAGTCCTTTGTATCCAGCAATCACCCAAAGACGACGGGTCGGCCACATCCATAAATTTTCTTATGGATTTCTCCTAACGTTTCATCTCGTTTCATTTATTTATTTTCTTTCTTTCTCTTTCCCATTCAAGCTTTTAAAGATGGGGCTGGGATTTGACCTTGAGGCTCACCTGTTGAAGAAAACGCTTTTTTGTTGTTATATCATCGGCATTTTATATTTCTTATATATAATATATATGACTATATATATATGTGTACATATATATATATATCTCTCTATATGCATCATGCCAGTGTAGATACCCATTCAGTAGAGTTTAGGCCTTGTTCTTGTGCCATTTTTTTTTTTTCTGTTACTGATCTCTGAATGCCTTCAAGTGTATAAAGTGTGGAATTCTCTCCGGTATCTGTACTATGTACACACATTTTCATAGGAAGCACAATAAGATGACAGATGCATTGTACATCAATACCTGCTACTCTTAACAACGATGATATAAAGAATGATATAAATGATATAACTCCCCCACGCCGAGCCTTTCTCTCTTGCTGAGCTGCTGGAAATGCTCCCCCGAGGAGGCAGGTGGGGACAGCCGCATCCCGGGATGCTCCTGGAGCCAAGGGAAAGGGAGGGGGAGGAAAAAGCTCTGGGCCAGGCTTTAGTGCAGAGTTTGCTCTGGGTCAGAGAAAGCTGAGCATCCCTTTGCTGGGAGCTCCTCGTGGAGCTCCAGCCTCGCTGCCTTCCCAAGGAGCTCCTCCCGAGGCACGCAGGGCTGGAGGAGGGAGCTGATTTCTGCTCCCGAGCAGGGAAAGGAGAATTAACACTCACGGAGCTCTTAATCCCTGACAACTCCAACACATCCGTGGTTTGGGACCCGCCTGAGCTCCAACGGGAGTCGCCAGGTGGAATTCCACCCTGGCAGGAGCTCTGGGAGCACAACCCAAATATAAACACACCTTCTGTCCTAAAAATTTCCTGCTACAGAGAGCAAAAGTAACAACAGAGCAGATCCAACAGCGGAGCCCTCGGGACTCCATGGAGACCGAATAATAGGGAGCGGGAGTGGGCAGGGAACGCTGAAATGCCAACGCGCACACACACACACACACCCTCCCCCCGGTCCCTTGGCTCCGACCGTGTCCCCTGGCTCCTGGAAATGGCAGAGGAGTGTTCTGCATCTCAACGAGAAGCGTCTCACCCCGCTCCGGTGCTGCAGGGGCCGGGGGGTGGGATTGGAAGGAGAACGGCGGGGCCAGGAGCGCGTTAATGAATGCGATTCATCACAGCCAGAGCCCTGCCCGCTCCCTCCCCGGCGCTGCCCCCGGCTCCGGGGGCTGTAATCCCCCGGCTGGACCTGCTGGCTGTGCTGGGAGCAGGTCACCCCGTCCATCTGTCGCAGCCCGGCTCTCCGAGGGCTCGGTGAGCCTCCGGGGCAGCACAGCCCGGCAATTCCCGGGGAGCAGCAGCAGCAGGGACCGGGCAGGCACCGCCCGGAGCCGCTCCTGGATGGGGCGAGCAAAAGCTGCTCTTTCCAGGCACGAGGCTCCTTTGGAGCATCCTGGGACAGCAGGAGAGGGCTGGGAACATCAGCCTGGTCGGGATCCTGAGCTCCAGACTCTTTGGGATCTGGGAACCTTCAGCCGGTTTGGGATCCACAGACTCGCAGCCCACTCAGGGTCTGTGGGGATGCCGAGATTCCACCACCGCCCCTCGCGGGACAGAATTCCCGGTTCCCCCTCGCTGGCAACAGGCGAGGGGACAATCGCACAGTCCTGGCTGTTGCTGTCCTGCAGCCAGAGCCAGGCTGGCTGGGCAGGAAAGTTTCCCTGGAGCCGCCAGCAGGTGCAGGGGAGGCATTTCCAAAGCTGTTCCACCAAACCCTCGGGGCAGGAGAAAGGAGGAAGGACACAGCGAGGTCACCCCGGAGCCTCTTTTCCAGGCTGAATAATCCCGATTCTCCCAGCCTTTCCTCCCAGCAGAGCTGCTCCATCCCTCTGATCATCCCGGTGCCTCCTCTGGAGTTGCTCCAGCAGCTCCACGTCCTCCCTGAGCTGGGACCCCCAGGCTGGAGGCAGCGCTCATCAGATGATCATCATTAATTGTTTAATTAATACTCGTGGTGTGACTGCGCACTTGGCTTTTTCCATGGATTAATGCTGGATTTGTGTCCCTTTTCTCTCTGAGCATATGAAACTGCTTCAGGGAAAAGGAACTTAATGTTAATACTTGCAGAAAGTGGCCTTTAACTCCAACCTCCTGCTCCCTGTGGAACCCCAGGGGAGACAGGATTCCTTTTCCTGCTGCTCTGCCTGAACCTGCACAAACTGGACCCATGCATGGCCGTTTCGTTTTTCCCCATAAATTTCATTGCCAAGATCCCAGAATCCCTGAGGTTGGAAAAGATCACCAAGTCTAAACTGTGACTGATCCCCACCAGAGCACTGAGTGCCACGTCCAGTTGTCCCCTGGACATCTCCAGGGATGGCGACTCCACCATCACCCAGCCTGTTCCAATGCCTGATCATCCTTTCCGTGAAATAATTCTTGCATGTTATGGAGGGCAGATCTGGTGCGGGGTGTCACACCTTCACATCGGAGCTCTCCATCCCTGGCAAAGGCACATCCACCTCCCTCCCAGCACATCCCAGAGCATCCAGGACCAGGGGTTGTAATCACGGCCAGGGAGCGGGGCTGACACCCCCCAACCCTTCCCAGCGTCTGGAACAATTCCGCATCTCCAATTCCACCCCTCGTGGTCCCCGTTCTCGAATTTGCTTTTCGAATTCCCTGTCCCACATCCTCACGGTGCCCATTCCTTCCTTTGATCCCCCTTCTGCACCCCCAGTCCCACCCGTCAAGGTCCCCGTTCCTACCCCTGATCTCCCGGGACCCTGAGTCCCCAATCCCACCCCTCAAGGACCCTGAACGGGTCCCAC